CGGGGCCCCGCGCCCCCCGCCCGCCGCCCCGCTCGGGACCCGGAGCCACCGCGGCGTCGCAGCCCGCACAACAAAGAGACGCTCCGGGCGGCGCGGGCGGGCGCCGGGCGCCCCGGGAGCCTCCCGCCCGCGGCCGCCGCTGCCCGGACCCGCCGCTCCGCACCCCGCACCCCGCCTCGCGAACTCACCTTCACTTTCGAACTGAGTTGCGGGGAAGGGGGGTTTTCGCCCCTCCCGGGTGCAGGTTCAGCTCCTCCGAATCCCCGCCGCCTCCTTATCTCCCCTATAATTTCTGCAAGAAAGTCTGGGGAGTTGGAGTGGAGGTGAGCTCCGCCGCCGCGAGAGCCCGGCTCCCTCCGGCCCCGTCTTCCGCCGCCCGCTCTCTGATTAGTTCCTATCCAGTGGCAGATTGAAGCAGGAGATGATTCTTCTCAAGGTTTGTTCAGCAGCTTCACTTCTAGGCGAAGGCTTCATGAACCAAGTGACGTCAACCAACAAGGCTTCTCTCTCTCTCCTCTCTCTAACAATGAAAGTTGCTGTTAACAAGGGGAAAAAGAGCGAGAGAATTGTTTATACCATTTCAGTTCCAATAATAAATGACCTATCAGCTCTAAAAGGAGCCAGGGGAGGGGGGCTGCCTCTTCATTCCAAGAATACTGTATCTTTGAGTTTGCACCGCTCGCTCCTCGTCCCAGGAAAAAGTTAGGAAACTTAAAAGGTTTTGTGTTGCTTTTCAGAGGCGGGCCAAAACAGATCTGAACACTTAATTTTTTAAGAACATAAACGGACTGTTAGGGAACAACATAGATTAGCCATCTCCACCAACTTTCAGGTTTGTAAACTAGAAAGTGTGTTGGAGCCTACAAGCTAAATTAAAATATCAAGAATTTGTGCGTGCTAGGACTCAAAAGGCAAGGCGATCTAAAGGTAAATTACCACTGCTTTTCCATGGACGAATTAAACTGGCTGTAATGTTCATGATTTGAGGCAAAATAAGATTCAAATGGGAGACTTTTAAACAGTAAGTCCTTTTACAGTTATTTGTATAAATTGTACGCCGTAATTCATTTTTCCCCCTAGTTTCGGTTAGGGGGAAGAAAAAAAAAAAAAGCTCGTTTAAGTGTAGGAACTAAACACTCTTAAAAGACCAGGAGCCCATTACCAACCAGACAGGCTCGCTGGACACTATCTGATCCACAGAATGTCAGGCAGCTGACTCAGTTTTTAACCTTCCACTCCCCAGTTCCCTCCAACCAATCAAGTTAAACTAAAGGTAAATTACACCCCGTCTCCAAGAGTGTGCCCGCAGCCTCCTAAAAACGATTAAAAAAAAAAAAAGAAAAATTTTTAAGCTTGGTACAGTTTATTACCCACGAAGAAAGATAATTTTTGAGAAACATTCACTAAGGTGTCTTTCCCCCTTAAGAACACAATAAAGTCGTGAAGTATATATAACTACAAATTAGATAATTTAGGTTTCAGGGGGAAGACCAAGTAGAAATTTAGTTATCGGAGAATAATTTGGCCATATATTATTTTATGCACACATATGTGGCTAGATGTATCTTAAAAGATGCTATTGTTTTATATTTCCTGCTCAACCACTGGCTGTGATTTTAATTGTGCTGGAGGATCTTCATTAGTATTAACACATGGGGAGATTTCACAAAGCTGCTTCATTAGGAAGAAAAAAAAGCTGGCAGACTAGGTCTCTTTGCATGCGCTGAGAATGTCAGCCTTACCTCGGTCATTTGTAACATAATAAGTGCAAGTACAATGATTGCAAGGCAGGAGCGTGGGGGGAAGGGCAGGAACACTGCGGTCTAATAGGGGCATCTGAAAAGACGGCTGCTCATTACATAGTAATGTATGCTAAAAATTAGTGAAGATGATGTCTCGGGAGACTGATGCTAAATAAATTAATGTGCTGATATGTTTTTAATTATTATTTTTGTAGTAGTTTATTTCAATCTTAGGATTCACATTGAGCAGCAAAGCTGTGCTAGCACTTATTGATTTTTTTTCCCTGCCACATTCCCGGAATACAGATTTTAATCATTTCACTACACCACACTCAGTAATTTCATTAAAAACTGGAATCTTCCATCCCCAGAAAAGCATTTAATTTCAATGACATACAATTTCTCTTTTAGCAGCAAACTGTCTCTATAGTAAAAGCTGGCCTAAGGTTCAAATGCATAATTTAATCCTGAGTTTTCCATGCTCTGCATTCCTTTCAAACTATAATTTCAGTAACTACCTAATAACTGTAATAAAGACAATAATTCCCTTACAATATATTATTAACTCATATTTAATTAACTCAGAGGCCAAGCTCTACACATGTATGACTAGGTCAACAATTTCACCATCTCAAAATTTACTAATAATGTTCAGATGAAAACGAGATTAAAATGTAAATATGAATGGTAACATGTAGACTATGATCCTAAGTCAAAGTCAAAAAAGTTCTTGTGTCATTCTGTAATGGTGATCATTACTCAAATGGAAGTTTGCGTCACTCCTGCATTTAAAGTTGAATGTTGATATTTCAGTATTTGTTACTGACACTTTGCCTAGTTGACGTTTGTTTTGGAAACTAAGGAAAAGAGGCTGATTTCAGTTGTGTTGATTGCCGAGTTCTCTTAAGGTGAAGTTCTCCTTAAAGAATGATGCCTGGTGAAAAATAACCTGTAAAACCTAGAATGTTCCTCTGCTTCCATAGGTAATGCCAATGCCCTCGAAATATGTATTCTTACAATACTTTAAAGTAAAACTTGGTCTGCAGATGCTAGGAGGTCCCCAAGCAATGGGTTTCCTAAGGATATGTAATTTACATTGCTTGACTTTTAGAAGAAAAATTATAATAACTAAATCATGGAAACATACCCAACAAACGAAAAAAAGACATCTACATAATAATCAATTAGTTACTATAAAAGAGTATCATTCATCTGAATGATTATACAACCAGAGTTTGAAATGTTTCAAAAGTTATGTAAAATGCCATTTAAATTGAAGCCACCAACAACAAAAAATTGTCTTTTTCCTAGTGGCGACTTATTGCGAAATGAGCCTTAGTCTCTTTAAAAGGTTTGAATACAAGAGGAAAAGTGGTTATGGTAAAGAATTTTATAGTAATGTCTTTTCGGGACATTTAAAAATTATCAAGAGTTTTTTGTATAATCAGGGAAATACTTTTGTGGCAGTCTCAAACACAAAATAAAGTTTGATGCAAATCAAGAATTGACCCCCCAAAATTCTAAACCAATTTCTATATTTTCCTATCAATAATAAAGACTTCATTACTATATTAGAATACAGCTTTGGGTCTTTTCGGGTATTTAGCCATTGAAATAAATTGGATATCTAATGTAGTCTCATATATTTTTGTTTTGTTTGAGACAAGGTCTCTCTACATTGTTGTGGCAGCCTTAGAACTCACCATGTAGACCAAGCTGGGACTCAGACAGCCGCCTGCCTCTGCCTGCCCAGTTCTAGGACTAAAGGTGAGGTGTGCGCTGCCCACTGCCACCACCTGGACAGTTTAGCCTATATTTTAACCTGATATTGTAAAGTAACCGTGCATTAGGAATCTTAAGCTGCTCCAGGTACTTGACACCTCTTACAGAGCTGCACTTCGTTTCTTGTTGAGATCATGTCATCCCTTTTTCATGTTTTCACATTTGATCTTTGCACTGATTAGCTCATAGAGCTGAGAAAAAATCAGATAAAATAATTACTGGAGTTATCAAATAATTCAGCTCCCACAGCACTTTGTCTGGTACCCAGGATCACCTAAGTCAGCATTTAACCATGTGCACAGTCGTGAGAGGATTTAATGATGGAGCAATTCTTTTCTACCTGCCCTATGGACTACTTATGCCACCACTATGAACCAACGTATTGTTTCCATAAAGCAGCATCTGTTTTTACACTAGGTAGACAAAGATGGAGAGAGATCCAATTTAGTACTATGAATTCTGCCAGTGGTTCCAAAAAGTGTAAGAACGCTAAATAACAACAAAAACACACAAAGGAATTCAGAGGTTCTATACCAGAGGTTCTCAGCCCGTGGGCCTCAGCCCCACTGAAGGTCGAATATCAAATATTTTCTTTATGATTCCTAACAGTAGCAAAATTACAGTTATGAAGTAGCAACAAAATAAATTTACGGTCACCAGTCACAACATGAGGATCTGTATTAAAGGGTCGCAGCATTGGAAAGCTTGAGAACCACAGCTTTCTAATGTACTGAGCTAGCCGGGGCAGATCTTGTTTCTGTTTCAGTCACTAACGAAGCTTTATTTGTTTTCACTCACTGAACAAACATTTGAGTGCTTGCTGTATGCTATGCACTGTGCTAGAAGCTGCAAAAAATAGAAAGAACTCACTTTCTGTTTGATGTTGAAAGTGTGAAATTCCTAAGAGAGAAAGCACTTTATAAAGACACAAATGATAAAGTTTTATGAGAATAAAAATGGAGTTACTAAATTCTGACTAGAGACTTAAAAGGCTTTATCAAAGACTACATTTGAACAGCATCTCGTACTAAGAGCTTACCTGACAAAAGAGGTTAGGAATTGAGAGAAGGAGGCAAGACAGGTATTCTAAGCTAAAGAATCCTTGTTTACACAGAGCTACTAGTTCACCCCCCATTAAGAAATGCAATCCAGATGGCTTTCATGACACAAGCCCTTCATCCCACTTGGAAGGCAGAGGCAGGGGCATCTTCTGAAGCCAGCATGGTATACATAGAGAAACCCTGTCTTGAAAAACCAAAATAAGCCAGGTGTGGTGGCGCATGGCATGCCTTTAATCCCAGCACTTCTGAGGCAGAGGTAGGTGGATTGTTGTGAGTTTGAGACCAGCCTGGTCTACAAATCAAGTCTAGGACAAACAAAGGTACACAGAGAAACCCTGTCTCAAAAAAAAACCCCAAATAAATAAAGAAAAACCAAAATAATAATAATAATAAAATAAAGAAATGCAATTGAATAGGAACATTCAGTGTGAAGGATGAAGAAATGACAGATGGCATGACAGGGATGAAGCCGTAAGAGGAGGCTGGCTCTAATACTAGAGACCTAAGGTTTTTATGGTAAGGTGGGTGAATTTATCCTGAGAGGCAACTAATGTTGGTAAAGGATTAACATGATTGACCTTGGTTTAAAGGGATAATAACTGCACAGGCAGTGCAAATGACAGGCTGTGGTATGAATGGTTGTTTAACTATCTTAGGATGATGGTGCAGGCCTGTCGTCCCAGCCAAAGTAGAGAAGCTGAGGGAGCCACACAGTCTAAGGCCAGCATGGGCTGCACAGCAAGACTCTACCTCAAGATAAATACAATGAAAAAAGCAAATCAAAAGAGACTCAGTAAAAGGGAGTGGCATTGGAGACTTAAACTCAGATAATCTGGGCAAATTTTCAGTGTAACTAAAGGACAACAGAATTAAGGTG